TAGAGCGCCGTGTTTGAGAAGATTAATTGATATTACAAATGTTTCCGAGCGATCTGTTCAGCACGTTCTTTCTCGCGTGACTCATTTGCGTATCTCTCTGGCAGTGCTATTCGACGTAACCAATCTATGAAAACGCTCTCTAGAGGGTTAACGCCAGTGCGCTGAGCTGTGCGCGTTTTGAAAGAGATCGGAAATACCGATGATTCTCACGATCAGCGAGTCGATCCCTTGAAAATGCATCATATCATGAAAAGAGCGAGCACGTAGCCGAAAGGGAGGAAAGGGAAAAAACGAGACGTATGAAAAAGGAACACGCAGAAGCTTGCGCTGTTCGCGCGCGAGCTCTTTCTTTCTCTCTCGTCGGCTTCAATATCAATATTCTAAAAACATCCTTTGTCGCATCGAGGCAAAAAGGTAGCTCACATGTGCACAACATACGTCGTTATACACAGACATTTTACTTCTGCGTATTGCTACATCGTGTCGATGAAAATTTATCGCTCATAGAAGATTATTGACTGCGACGTTTTGTAGTGTAAAACGTACAACTTCTGTGTAACAATATTAATCTTTCTTTTCCATTCTTATTTTTTCATTTATTTTCCGTTAAAGGACACTTTGAATTTTCTATTCTTTTAATTTTCTTTTTTATTTTTTAAATTTTCTTAATTTTTCATTTATTATCGGTTAGGAAACTTTGGATTTCCTATTTTTCTAATTACGTAACAATACTTTAGTAATACAGATATTCCATTATAACTATGCGTATGTTAAAAATTGTTTCCACTTTGTAGAAGATAATAGTTTACGAGTTCAATATAGTTACATTTTTATGATTTCCACAGGCACTCTCACGAATTCGATATCAATATTCTAAAAATGCCCTTTGTTGTATTCGGGAAAGAATCCGCATCGCAAATAACACGAGATGCTTTTTGACTTCAGCTACGCGGTGGCTGTAATCATACTTGGCAGCTCCCTTGCTCGCCATATGCTGCAACTAACCACTGCTGTACTTATCATTCACATATACGTCACATGAATATCGGGAAAATCTTCGCAGCACTCTCATTATATGACCGTTGTCAGCGGAATGCTCCCTTCATAGGAAATAACGTTTTTAAGCGGATATTGTAATACAAGGTTTCAACAATAATATTAATCAATCTATTTTTTAAATTGAATTTACAATTATTTATTCATGAATTATCTTTAATCGATAAATCTTGACAAAATGTTTAAGTATTTTAAAGTGATAGCTTTCTAAATGAAAAAGTCAGATATCATTTATTATTTACAAATAATTTTTAATATCTTAATGGACATTACGATATCAAATCTCTCTAACATATTCTTTTTTAAATTATGTCTTAAAATGATTGACACAACATATCGTATGCTCCTCGTCGCATTTAATACTGTATGCTACAACGCTATTCAGATGGTGATAAAAAAGATGACGCCTTTTATCATTATCTTGCGCGTAATCCCGCGTACAACCGGATATAGTCATTTGCATAGCGACATAGAGACCTTAAATATGCTAAACGCACCGCGCACATACAACGCGCGTATTATACACAAATAGGCCGGTGTGGATGGTGTGACACGCGTTGACATTCGTCATTGTTCCGGCTTAATTACACTTTCTTTCGGCGGGACGAAAAAAAAATTTCGCCACTGTCAAACTGCGCTGCTCTCTCCCGCGCTCACCTCGCACCCCATTCGCTCCGATTCTCGCTTCTACCCCTCGGTGTTGCATCCACGCGAGCAAGGGGTGACGCTCGTGTAAACCGCGTGTACGGCCGTCCACCGACACCTGTTTACTCCCTACGGACAGTCGTGTGCACGCACTGCAAAACGGCTGGTTTACCGAGGCGACGAAATCGTCTTGTTTGAGCTGGTTGCGTTGATTAAAGTGTTTTATTATGCCGGTTAATGACGATCGTTAAAGTAACGCGATAGTCGCGCAAAGATAGTAGCTTCTTTTGTAGTAAGTGAAGAATCAGTCGAATGACAAGTTTATCATTTAAATATTCTTTTATTAATATAATCTATAAAGAATCACACTTTTACTTTATATATGAGATAATTCAACCTTTTACACGAAAGAAACTTATATTCCTACTATATCTAAAATTCAGATTTTCAGATTACCATGACTATTGCGATTGCCAATATTTATTGTATGGAATAAATAATTAATATAAATTAAAAAGATATCGGATTTAATATTATATATTTAATAAAGTAAAACAAGGAGTTAAAACAATTATAAGCCCCATAAATTATACAAATATACTCCATCTGACAAACGCATCAATTAATGACAATACGTGAGAGGATAATAATACGTCGAAAAATGATATGAGAAATTTGAAACGCACTACCGGTGTGCGTGCGTGTACGTGTGTGTTCTTTTTCGCCTTTCGGGCGAGAGAATAATTAAAGGCACAAAAGGGAGCGTCCAACGAATTACTCGGCCGGTGCGCTCGAGCGGCGGCGCGATTGGACGGTCGTTCTCATTCCGAGATTCTCCTTGAACGCGAGGTCCACGTCAGACGCGGAAACGTTCAAAGGGTTTCCGCGGGGGGAGGGGAGGGAAACGGGAGGAAAAAACTAATTAACTTTTCGGAATAATTAAGATAAGGCCGTTGGAGATCTGGCCGATCGGCCGACCCTACGTTAAGCCGCGCGCCGCGCTTCCTCTTTGCTCTTCACGGTAGAGGAGTTGAGTCGAATCAGGCCGAGGGTCCCTCTGGAAATGGCGATCGGTCGATTAAATCGTTTGCATGAGAAGGGAGTGGTGCGCGAATCTTAAACGTGCGTAAGAACTCCCGTAAAATTACACGCCGTGAAGAGAAGCAGCGCAGTAACCAATTTTATTATCAGATTAGCGCGTGCTCCTTCTGGAAAAGCATTAATTATGGAAAAATAACAAATTTACCTCGAAATGAAAATCATAATGATAAGTATGTAAAATATCTAACATGAAAATATATAGAATTAATTTGCATGTATCACAATATATATTCTAATATATATCCGCGATTCTTCTCAAATTCAAATATAATGCTCGAGGAAAGAGATTGTATAAAATTGACTTGTAATCAACTTTAAAACTAAATTAAAAACACAATTAAAACATTACGTATTATTAATATATTAATGCATGAAGACGAAAGCATAAGTCCGACTATTGAATCAAGAAAGTCTGACAAGGAATTTCAATAAAAGACGCCGGCAAAGGATTTGCCGACAAACAATTAGGGACATTACTATTGACCGACTCTCGATAAAGTTAAATTAAAGTAAAATCAAAGACGCTCTCGACTCCCACAGGCATATTGAGGTTTTTCCTTCATCTTCGCTTCTATCGCTGCTAAGTTGACTCGTCGCGATAAATTCCCACTGTTCGAAATCGATTCGTAAATGTAACGACCAAACAAATTTTTATCCGCGAACCCTTCTCAACAATAATACATTATTCGCATGATTAACGAACGACTATCAACAAGGCATTTACGCGATCTACCGCCTCTCACCGTATCTTCCGCCTAATTATCAACGTCGGTAGAGATGAGTCCCTCCCTCCTCCCCCTTGCTCTCCTCTCCGACCGTCCTTTGCCTATATCTCTCACGTGCCCACTTCAATTCCTGCCGCGTACAGCCCGCAATAAAGCCTTGCCTCTAAAAGCGAGGCAGATGCACTTTACACGAGAGAGCGGCTCTCGCGTGACACGAATAAAAGTCTTATTGCACCAGTGGGTGGCGAAAGGGGTTAGCGGGAGAGGGGAAAAAAGGGAAGCGAGCGAGCGAGAGGGAGGCAAGAAAGTAGTCGAGCGCGACGACTGGTCCGACAACGGCGCCGTGGCGCATACAGTACTCCGCTGATAATTAGCGAGCGAGCTCCTCGCGACGTAGGACTGATAATTCCCAACAATGGTTCATTACTGTCGTTTAAATGTGCACGACAAGTGCATTCGAGTAGCTGCGCCCAGCGAAGGCACGGGCTGCCTCTATCTGGCTATTTCCATATACACCCTTCATTGTCCTCTTTGTCCACAACTATACTATAGATTCGCAAAACTGACATTTTTATGGTGGAACAATGGGGTCGCGAAGAGAGACGGATCGAGCGAAGGAGGAGGAGGAAATGCGAAACGCGCACGAGTGAAGGTGGAGGAGAGGGCCAGAGAGGACCAATTCGACGTGAATCGGAGCATCGTTATCCAAGTAAATAGACTGCCGCACTGCTCCCCCCGAATACAATCCATAATATTTGTATTGTTGTATTTTATTCCCTGTGGAATAAAAGTGGTCGAGACGAGTGCCGCTGCTGCGATTGTCTGCTGCGAGTGTCTACGATCATCCATCCCACGAGAAACTAGGTCTGATTTCGGCATCGTTGACGATGGAAAATGGGAAACTTGAGAGTGCTCCGAGAGGATGAGAATGATATATTTAGAATTGCGAGGATATTGCATTCTAAACTCGGAATGAGGCCCGAGTTTATCTTACAATTGCGCGGTAACTTTGTTGAATCTAAGATTCATGATTTTTATGATTCCTTTACGATATTATTTAATTGAAAATTAATCTGATTAGAATGTAATTAATATTGTCTAAGACATCTATATATATGAAACAAAGTAAAATTAAGATATTTATGTAATAGACACTACATACATATATATGCCATTGATTATATTAATTAAACTCATTTTGTGGAGTACATGCATTGAGCTATTTCTCGAGAGAGAATGTATTCGTTAAACATTCATAATAAAACGTGCAGATTACAACGTAAAAAAATAAAAATATAAATAGTTCATTAACAAGCTAAATGTAATCGTGACAAAATGTAATTTTTACAGGACTGACGCGATTCTACAACGTCAACGGATTTTTCGTTAGGGTTCCGGAAGAGATTGCCCGTGTCTCGGGAAGCGATGTCCTCCAGAATAAAATCACGGTCGTCTCGATAGAAATTACGAGGGACACTCGTCCTGACGGAAAGCGGTAGATATCGGGAGGTGTAGAGGATAGTCCGTGAAGCGTCGTCATTAACTGCCAATCACTGCCATTCACCGGCCGAGAAGACGAAGTCGAATAGGCAGGGTAAAAAAAAGAAAAGTACTGTAGAGACGTTGAAGGGAGATTCTAATTATTTATTTACGAGAAGAGCGAGAAGCGACCTCGTCGTATCTGGCTCCTCGTCTCTCTCTTCTTTCGCTCTTCTCAGCTCCTCTGTTATTCAATTATAGGAAAAAATCGTCAAAAAGAAGCGACGTATTTCTAGTTACAATTATCATCAGGTGTAATATCGCCAAACAATAATTGAGTTAACACTTAGTGAAAATATTATTTTAGGGCATTTATTTTCAAATGCATTACAAACTATCTTTGTACAATCATAGATTTTTAATTGACTTAACGCAATTACTGTACATACGACTTTACATTTTATTTCCCTATCTCGGGAAGTGTTTCTTTGCGCAATACGAAAGGACCGTGTATCAGAAAGAAACTGGACGTCGCGCATATTAATTGACGGCTCCACTTCGCGCGCGACTTTCCAGCGGTGCACGTAACGCGGTTTTATCTCCGCATTGAGCGAGGAATCCCAAATTCAATTTCGCGGGGTAAAGCGTAACGACATCGCGCCTTATAAGCGAGCGCCCGCCGTCGCTTTGGTATTGGTGAAGTCGCGTGGGAGCCGGGTTTTTACTTCGCTAATGATTTCCGCGCTCGCTTCAGACGCTAACTTCCCCGACAAATAGGAAAATTAAAGCCGCGTCCGCGCGGACCCGCGCTCGCGCGTAACTCCGTCCTGCTGGGCATTTAGTTACGACTTTTTTATAATTAATACCTCGGGTGGTAAATTAAGTCGGGCGCGGCGGAAAGAGCGAGGAAGAAACGTTTTGTAAAATAAATACCGACCGACGTGTACCGGCGGCGCATTCGTGGGGGTGGCGGGGAAATGATTTACCCCTCTAACCCTTACGCGCCCTGCCTCGCGACGGCACCCTTGCCCCTCCCCCCCCCCGCCGCCACCCTCATGACGAGATCCCCTTTCTACCCGCATCTACCCGCGGAACAACGAGTAACGGCGGAGAGGTCAATTATAATGGAAGATTACGTGCCCGCGATTCCGTCTCGCAGTTATAAATAGGTACAAAGAGTATTAAGTCCCTCGGAAGTATTAACCTGGAGAGCCATTGGGAAAACTTCCCGTTGCGCGGAAGCGAGGAAGACAAATAATTGAAGAGAGTTTTCGTTTCTCGGTTCGAAACACAGACCATGACGCTCCTCCGGTATTAAAATCGCGTTTCGTTACTGCAACAAATCTGTCCCGCGAATTTATCTGTAACGTCATGTTCCCTCTCGTATAAATTATATTACGATATAATTAGTATATCTGTCATTAAAATCCAACCCCGATTAAATTCGTCCCATTGTTTCGCAGCAGGAGTATCATGCTAAACGTAGCTATGCATCGCGACCGATCTTCAATGCATTAATCAAACGCATATCACCATGATCGATTGACTGAGTATCTAGTTGCACGTGACGCATGTCCTATCGCAGCCTTTCGTTAATCCTCCATATTCTACGATCCATAGAAACGCAAAGACAGTGCGGACGTTCAAAGGTCTCATGCTGCGTTTCCCCGAGCACTGACTGGCACTGCCTGTTTCTATTTACTTGATCTTACCCAGAGGTTCTCACCTCGTCGCGTCTTATTTCAATCAAACGCATAATTGCACGATTTACGAGACTTTTAAGTCTTCTCGATAACTCTCACGTTGTACCATTTAGCGAAAATTAAATATCCAGAATATCTTTTACACGTGTTTGATATTGATTTGATATTAATTCGAATAAGATGGCAAATTTACCCGTGGGAAAGCGAACGTGACGAGATGAGAACCGCTGGAGCCTTAATAGCGCTGCGGTGCATAGCCTGTATTAGTAGCAGCGGTAGCAGTCGTGCATAGTTAGGGTTTAATAGCGTGTATTATTGATTATAATATCGCATGATTGGTACAATCACGTCGCATTGTACCTATCAATGCACGGCATGCAACCGACCGACCGTGCATCACTCGCAATCACCGATGCACGAAAACCCGGCGCATTAAATTATTTATTAGCGAACTGTTTCAGCAGATTGAAATCGACAATTATCGGGCATATACATCATCGGCTATGAGTTCGTTTCGTAATCGGTGCGATTGACGCTACGTAATAAAACAAGTACGCTGCGTGATTTATATCGTTGCATTCCCAATGGCGTAGAGACGATCGTGAATCCGCGGAACAGCAATTGCTGATCATCTGTAAGAAAAATACAAATAAATTATTCTTTTTTTTTATCCTCCAAATATTATAATTAAAACAGCATAAAAGAGATTATGATAAATTACATTTATAATTGAATTATATAATACACACTTTGTAGATAAAATTTTAATATGCGATGTTTCATGCAATAAAAATTAAAGATATGATTAAAAATATGCGAATGTAGAATTGTGAAAAAAAATGTGCGAGTGTATAATCGCGATATTAAAGGCGGGAGAAGGAATTCGTGAACGAGGTGAGCGAAGTGCGGACACAGTGCTGCCGAAATCGTCATCTACACCCTTTCAAAGATCCCGCGAGCTTCCAATAGCTTTTACCCTACCACTAATGGTCGTCTACCAACTGACGAATAAGAGTAGACGAGGATGGTGGCTACGAGATACAACGTTGAAGGAGAAAGAGACGAGAGAGAAACGAGGATAGAAAAGACGTACTATACCGATATAAAGAGCCATCTCTTTTCGTTCGCCTTCTCTCGCGTTTTTCCTTTATATCCTCTGTCTTGAAAAGAGAGCATAATAAAGGAAAAAACGATGCCGTAAGTCTTTTTCGTACTATGTTGCTTTATCTATGTGGCTATATACGAGCCCCAAAGTGCGTAAGCAAATAAATAAGGAAAATTCTCTTCTTAAAGATAGTAAAAACTTAGATATCTCACAATCAATCATTTATTCGAAAAAATTTTAAAAATATATTTTCCTACTCTTCTGTTGTATCTTTCTTAATTTATAAAATTATGCATGTTAATACAACTTGAAATTCGTTTGAAAAATTTATAGAGATAATCTATAATAGATAAATAATGTTCAAATCGGCACCATTATTTATCATTTGCCACTTCTTTTGCCAAGAATATGAGAGGGTGCAAGCAGAGAGGACGGACGCAAGGATAAATTTCTAGTAGGGTGTTAACCTTACGTGACAACTGCCGAAGATATTTGGTCGCGAAAGAGTATAAGCTTAATCCTCTTGCGAAAGTGACAGAAATATGAGACTATTATCTCTATATATTATTCAAGTATTTTTCGACAGACAATCAACTTCCTAAATAATCTAACTATATAATATATATCTAATTATTCCTAATAAATAAATAAATATAATTATACTTTATGTCAGATGTTTGTAATAATTTTTTATATAAATAAATTTAAATTATAACTTTCTATAAATGCTAAGTTTGTAGTTATTTGTAAGTTTGTAGTTATTATGCTTATTAAATAATTATTCTCCATAAAGTTAACTTGTCATAATCTGAAAGTGACGTTACAAATATTGAATTTTCCGAATGTCACACATTATTACAATCCGTAAGCTTGACACATCTTCGATGTCGAATCGAATAGCACAAGATTCGACTGAGCGAGCAACGATCGCTGAGGGCTCGAAGGTGCGCGAAAAGGAGGGCAGCTTGCAGCTCCTCGGCGTCGTCTGCCGCGCCAATTCTCAACAAATTGTAATTTCTAGAAACAAATTGAATATAAACGCGCCGTAATTCGAATGCCTGCTGCAGCGGCACCGGCACAATAATGATGACGGCTGCGTAGGAGCCAGCGACCGTAGCTGAAGGGAGCGAGGCAGCGCCAGGAGACGTAGCCATGCGCGAAACAGCAATCTTTCGAGGCAATCTCTTTAATAAATGAAGCATACGTTCCCGCTTTTGAATTACGTCTACGTAATGGCCTCCCACTCCCATCCCATCTCTCTCGCTCTTCTGTCTCTTTCTTCCTTTCTCGTTCCTGTGTCACGCGTCGGCGCCGAGCCGGCACAAAGAACGACGAGAGATTCCGCCATCGCGATCGGCAAAGCCGATTTGTACGGGTTGCTTAAAAACATCAATGTGAGGCGAATACGATGCAAATTATCTTTCATGCAACAAGCAATCGATAATATATGATTTATGATACTTTGACAGCATGCTAAAGAAGCCATGAATTATAATTCATGATAGAAAAGATTATAATACATATAAAATATTACAAATCAACCCCAAGTATAATAAATTCTATTTAAAAAAATAATTTAGATTGCGACGAAAAATCGGGTGTATTAATTCAGCCTTCTGTTTTGATTACATAATATACGTCAGGTGATCACAATAATATATGTCTTCGTGTTACGATTATTTTGAAGTTGATGGTAAATTATCACGAGCATATAAAGTCTGTGTGTATCTGCTAATCAGAATGTTCGCACTTCCATTCCGACATATCGTGCCAACGATAAAAGTGCAACGAGACCCATCCTCGTTCTCGCGAATGTATGCAATCATCTACAAATATTATAGCCGGCAGCACCGACGAAATAACTGCACAAGTAAGTAGTGTGTCTGCCTCCATTGTTTCCCTTCAAATCAAAAGCAGTCAAATTCTCCATTGTGATCGCACCACGCGCTCCACTTACACGATGACAGAGAAACGATGGAGAGACGCGATATAACGACGCTAGATATACACGTCGTGAAAATATACAGGGTGTATCTGTTACGTTCAGTACTTTTAAGAGTCAATTTTTTACTCGCGTAAGCTGGAAACTTGTTTGAAAACGCGCGAATGAAAAATATTAAACAGCAAATATTATTTTTCATCTGGCAAGTATTTTATGATATCATGACGATTGATCTACGCTAATGAGGTATTTGTTATTTATTGTTATGCCCTTATCGAATCATTAATTTATGTCATTGCTCAAAATGTAATTTACGCAATATTGTGTCAAATTTGAGGATGCAACTGGCACACCCCGTATACGTGTTTATAGATATCTACATAAATATATACATATACATATACGAAGAAGGAGTTTGTGTTGCGTGTGTACACTCGATGCGTCTACGGATATATTCAACGTAATCGCTGAATCGGTATTCCGTCGACTGACAGACCTAGGCAAACAATGGACGTTTGATTGTTCAAGATTTAGTGCTGGTTTACTACCGTCGAATTCGAATTCGCGATATCGCGTCACTCAGTAGCGTGGGTGTGTCAGCATCTGCATTCACGAGCTTCGCGAAACGTTTCCCAATTTTCAGCCAAGTACAATTCCAAACAAGACTTGATTTCATCAAATCTTGCAGCTGATTACTCTCGATAATGAACGCGCGATAAATCTCGACGATAGATATAAGGAATATTGTCGTATCAAATATTGCAGAGAAACGTCTACAAAAATAAATTTCATTCTCGAAACAAAAATTAATAATATATTACATTAAAGAAATTTAAAGATATACATGTACATATGTGCACTTGCAACGCAACAAATAAATAAAAAGAATACTCTTCTGGCATTTTACTCTGTTATTCGTGCATTGTCAAATGAATACGAGAAGAAGGGTGACATTCGTGAGCTTCTATTTGCACTTTGCAAGATAAAATATTACTCTTAGTTTACATCTCGTCGAAAGACGATACGGCATTTGCATTATTTTACATTAAATGCCAGGCGAACGAAACTCGACCGCGTACCATGCCGGTATTGCCTTCGAGTTTACGGTCATGTCAAAGTGGTATTTTCAATAGCCCGTGCACTGGAATTTGCCCGTTAGTCAGAAGAATTTGTATTTCTCCGCGAATCGCAGTTGGTCATCGGAAACGAGTCAGCTCAGATACGGGTACGAATAGCGTCTTAGGAATCTGTTGGTATTTACGGATAATGAGATTACACGCGGCAGAACCCCTATCAAACTTACATTCCTCTTTATTACAATTGTATATAAGTATCAAAGTATCTAGATATAATGATTCGTTATGTTCTATATATTAATGGTATGCATTTATCACTTTGAATTGTATCATTTAAATTGTGTCAAAATGTTAATAAAATAATAAAGTTATATTATCTTTAAATTTTATTATAAATTTTATATTATTTTGTCAGATAAAATAATTATTTCTCTTGTTTACAATGATGCAGAATCCATATTATTTCGTAAAATTCGAGATTACCGATGGCATTTCTAACGTGAAGAATGTTTAGAAGAATTTGAATTTCTCTCCCAGAGGAGGGTATATCATGTCGTAAGGCTAGAAGTGAGCACATCGAAAGTCTTAGGAATTCAAGTCATTCCGTAGTCGAGGAAACAAACAGAATTCGATTGAAAACAAAACAAGCGAAATTATTCCCTTCGACCCTATCGGAATCGAAGAATGCGAAGCGTTTGTATTTTCATAAATATCAGAGCTTAATGTCATCCCCCTCAAATCGAGAGAGAGAGAGATTTAGCGATATCTCAAGAAATTGATATATATCTATTTGTTTCTTGAATATTTTTTTATAAAAAAATTATATAGATATTATATTTTATATTTTTAATGCAACCTTCAGCATTTTCTTTCTTTCTTTCATTAATATCTTCTCTAATTTATTATATTTTCATCACGCATTTCTCTTTCATTCAGCTCAAGATTCAGTAATCGATTGATTGATAACATACTTGTAACTGACAATTTTGAAATTTTTTTCTAAGAATGATAGAATGATAGAATAAATTCAAAAATGCGTGCATACAGTTGCATTATACATCTCACTTTTGCCAAGCATCGCGTTGATTACAAATAAACCCAACAGACAACCGCTTTACACGCGCCAGTAAAATCCACACGCATGTCTGTCTGCACCGTTTAAGCAGGCTGCGATGAGGGCGGATGGGGAAGCCGGTTTCGTTAAAACAACCCCCTATGTCGCGCGCCCCCGCACTTTGGCCTCCAGCTTCCACGGCGACGTCAGCCCTTTCTCCCGGCGCAACCGCGTCTCTAGCAATTCACTGATCCGCATTTAGGACAGGAGGCGATATTTAGGCCGAAGGGTGAGAGGCCTCGAAGTTAATTAGATCGACTTCGTCAAGGCGCATCCACTTAACCTCAACGCCGCGTCAGAGACACGTCGCACCATGACTGCTTCCATCGGGTGCACACGTTGCAAAAGAGAAACGTTAACATCCCCCTTGTTAACCCTTCAATGCTATGATTTTG